ACTGTACACTTAAAAATGGTTAAAATAGTAAATTTTGCTATGTATTTTTTACAATATTTTTTAAAATTCTAAAATCCTTAGCCTGACACATGAAATCAAACGGAAGGGATAAATTAGTAGCAACACTTCAGTCTGGGGGCTAACATCCCAGAATGATGCACTAGTGACAATTTCTAGGCCAGTGGTTCACAACTGGGGAGGATTTTGCCCCCAGAGGGCATTTAGCAATGTCTGGAGACATTTTTTATCATGGTAAAATCGCCATCTTAATAATTGTTAAGTGTGCAATTCAGTGGCAATAATTACATTCACAACCAACACTACTATCTGTTTCTAAAACTTTTTCATAGCCCCAAACAGAAACTCTGTGACCACCCATCAATAACTCCCTATTTCTCCCTCTGGAGACACTCAATATCATGACTACCTGGGGTGAGGGATGCTGCTGGCATAGAGTGAATGGGGCCATGGATGCTACTCAACATCCTACAACGCACAGGACAGCCCCTCAGGACAAAGAATTATCTGACCCTAAAGGTCAATAGTGCTGAGGTTGAGAAGCCCTGCTTGAAGCTGACATGAGCATTTGAAACAGAAACTGATCATACCACACAGTTTCTACTGTAATGCAGAGGAAAGTTGTGCAAGAGCAGGAAAGCCTCTTAATTCAGACACATCCAAGTATATGCCGGGGCCTCCAACACATTCCTTAGCTGCTACTCCTCCTGGCAGGGCTCTCCGGGAATGCAATGATCCCCACTACTAACATTTAGGTTATCGAGAGGATGCCTAAGAGTGAGGTCATAGCAAAAGTGGCCTTTTGGAACAAAACAGCATAAGGAATAGGCACTGGCAAGAAAGTCAGTACCATCAGGAGGTTCTGACTCTGAGGAATCAGAACCTCCTGACGATACGAGCTTTGCCTCTAAATTCCCATTCAACAAATCAGGAATAGCCAGACAGCCAATTAATAAGCGCGTTGCCAAAATGAGGCTATGCAGCCCTTCCAGCCAGGGGGCCACAGCCCAGCCAAATCCCAATTCACACAGCAACAGAGGCAAAAAGCTGAATGAGTCATCAACAGATACAGTGGTAGAGGGGTGGATCTGGAGCAAGTATGTAGGGAAAAAATCCTGTATAGTTCAAGATTATCCAAAAGCTTCCTTAGGAAGCAAACATATGGGTTCTCAAAAGGTTCAAAGCAGTATTTCCTCCAGTTTTGGCGAAGTTCAACTGAGCACCTGGTAAGCAGCCAGCTTGTATCCAAGCCATACTATATATAATTGTGTTTTGTTTTTTAGAAACTGGGTCTGGCTCAGTCATCCAAACTGGAGTGCAGTGGCATGATCTTAACTTACTACAGCTTCCAACTTGGTTACAGTGAGCCGAGATCATGCCATTTGCACTCCAGCCTGGGTAACAAGAGCAAGACTCCATCTCAAAACCAAAGCAACACAAATTAGCTGGGCGTGATGGCGTGCTCCTGTAATCACAGCTACTTGGGAGGCTGAGTCAGAAGGATCACTTGAACCCAGGTGGTGGAGGCTGCAGTGACCTGAGATCATGTCACTGCACTTCAGCCTGGGTGACAGAGCAAGACTCCATCTTAAAAAAAAAAAGTGTGAGCCTCAGAGCCAGAACCAGACAGACTTGGGCTTGAGCCCAACTCTGTTCCATGCTAACTGTGTGATCTCGGGCAAGTTACTTAACTTCTCTGTGCCTGGTCTTTTCTTAATTGTGGCCTCCTCCCAGGGTTGGGAGGGTTAAATGAGGTAATTCATAGGTCAAGGGTTTAGCACAGACACTGGCCCATTCGAAGTACTCAATCACATCATCATTAAGTACCTTTGCCATCAGAACACAGATGCAGAACAGCTTCTCACTTCATCCTGAAAGCAGCCTGAGACCTGTACCTTCCTGGCCCTCACTGTCACAGGTACTGGACTTCAAAGGATGTGGTCAAGGTGTCACAGCCACTCCCTTGTCCACCAGGCACGCCTTACACAGTGGTAGCATCAGATCTGCTCTCTGCCATCTCTCCCCACCGAGCACAGGCTCCTGACTCCTCCACAGGGAGTATGGTGGTTAACATGGTTCAGACATTCTGTGCCTCAATTTGAGTACAGGCTCCTTCATCGTCTAGTTGCATGACTTTGGGGCTACTTAACTTCTCTATGCCTCAGTTCTATCAGGTGTAAAATGAAGATGATAATTGCTCCTTCCACGGGATTACTTAGAACAGTGCCTGGCAAATAGAAAGTATTACTTTTTATTTTATTTGTTTATTTATTTTAAAGAAACAGGGTCAGGGCAAGGCACAGTGGCTCATGCCAGTAATCCCAGCACTTGGGGAGGCTGAGAAGGGCTGATAACAAGGTCAAGAGTTTGAGACCAGCCTGACCAACATGGTTAAACCCCGTCTCTACTAAAAATACAAAAAAAAATTAGCCAGGCATGGTGGAGTGCGCCTGTAAACCCAGTGACTCAGGAGGCTGAGGCAGGAGAATCGCTTGAACCTGGGAGGCGGAGGTTGCAGTGAGCTGAAATGGTGCCCCTGCACTCCAGCCTGGGCAACAGAGCGATACTCCGTCTCAAAAATAAAAATTATAAACAAAAAAAAGAAACAGGGTCTCCCCATGTTGCCCAGGCTGGAGCTGCAGTAGCCATTCACAGTGTGGTAAGAGTGCACTACAGCCTCGAACTCCTGGGCTCAAGTGATCCTCCTGACTCGACCTTCTGAGTAGCTGGGACTACAGGCGCACAATACCATGCCTGGCTTTTTTTGGTTGTTTTTAAACAAGAGACAGTCTCTGGGGCCTCAAATTCAGCACTGTCTCAAACCTACCTCATTTCAGCATCCCTTACCCCAACCAGCTTTGAGTTCAAAGCAACTCCGGAGACTCTCTAGCCCTTTCCCCAGTGCTTGTAGCAACTTCCTCACTGCTTCCTATCAGCATACTGTCCCCCCTGAAGTGTAGGCAAATTTGATGCCTTCCCATGGCCCCAGCCCTGGTTAGTGTCTGATACACAGCAGGCACTGAGTAAGCAAATAATTTGGCATCTAGCAGATACACTGAAAATACTCATTGGACTTTTTTTTTTTTTTCCCAAGACAGAGTCTTGCTCTGTTGCCTGGAGCTGGAGTGGAGTGATCTCGGCTCAATGCAACCTCCACCACCGGGTTCAAGTAATTCTCCTGCCTCAGCCTCCCAAGTAGCTGGGATTACAGGTGCACGCCACCACATCCAGCTAATTTTTGTATTTTTAGTAGAGACGAGGTTTCACCGTGTTGGCCAGGCTAGTCTCAAACTCTTGATATTGTGATCCGCCCACCTCCACCTCCGAAAGTGCTGGGATTACAGGTGTGAGCCACCGCACCCAACCAATACTCATTGGATTTGAAGGTTCCAAATACAGCATCTTGGAGGGAATTGTGGGTAGCCGGACTAGGGCAGCAGGTTCTATCTGGAAATGTCAGTGTTACAAAATGCCAGTGGGATGAGAGAGTCTGAGCTCCAGGCTCCATCCCCTCCTCAGGCCAGCATGTGTTAATAGTTTCCCTCTGGCCTCTGGTTCTGGTGCCCTTTTGCTATTACTAAAATTTTGGGTTGGGCAAAAGACTAGAACAAGCTGCAGGTCTCACTATACAGACCAGTTCTTTACTTTTCTCAGGTCCCAAGTGCTCAAGTTTGTGAGCTTTGGGAATGCGCACCTACACAATTCTGCTTTTTCCATCTTTTTAAATCTGCTCACTCAACCCACATGGGAAATGTCTGCAGCATCAAAAAGACCCTCGGCCCACCCAAAGCACCACAGGGCTGGTAAGAGCCTAGCTGCAGCCTGCAGCCACTTCCTCAAAGGCAAGGCACTAGGTCATTGTATCCACGACCACTGCAACCCCACCAGTCAGGGAGAGAACACTAGGAACACTGGTGAGAGTCGGGGCTTGGACTTGGACGTGTCAACTTAAGAATGCACTGATATCTTCACCCACAGTCAGACACAGGCAGGAACCAGCCCTAACAAGTCTTACCATGGTTGGGGCTTTATCTGCCATGTCCCTGGCACAGGCAGACAGCCAGGAAGCTGGGCATTGCGTCAGCAAGCAAGCTGACCATAGCTTCAGACCAAGGTGTCTGCCACCACACTCTATCTGCCACACCCACCTGTAGGCTGCCTTCTTCCTCCTTGATCCCCAGCACCCCGCTGCAGCTTCATCGAGGCTGGCAAGCAGACAAGACCTCTCCACTGCACCCAAGACCATGCCGTACTAAGTAAGGGTCAGACAATAGGACCAAAACCCACTGAGAATACAGAGGCAAATGCATCTGTATTTTAGGAGATCACTGCAATCTCGCGCAGACCCAGCCTATGGAAAACAAGCCTCTTGGCTATTCATTCACAGTGGCAAACTTCTCCTCCAGTCACTGGCAGTAGAAAGAGCAGCAGGGTTCTCAGCCTGCCACTCCTGTGTTTATCTGCTTTTTACAACGTAAGATTCGTAAAAGTAATTAGCAGTAATAACTGATTTCTACTGATTCCTAATGCCCCATAGTTGCTTCTGGAGACCATCTTTCCGGAACTTTCCCTACGTAAGTTCTTTGGTAATGAGTCTCCTAAGAAACTCCTGAAAGTGGGATCTAACGTTGGCTGAGAGGAAAATCGGCAATTTTCCAAGTTTGATTTTAACTGAAATTTGGAACTGGGAGTACTTCTGGTCCCCCCTTCAGCGATATGAACGTTAGGAGATGGAACCCGGGCCCAATTCGCATCCTTGGGAACCGAGGCTTTCCCACTATCCCCTGACACGAGGAGTGGCCAGGAATATCGGGGGGAGACACGCAGAGAGAGGTGAGTCGGGGACCCGGGGACCTCCTGGTCCGCGCTTCCGGTAGGGCGCAGGGGAAGTAGTGGCCCGGGCCCGCGCTCCCAGCAGGCCTCAATTTCCCATTCCTGAAGGGGATCTCCCGTGCGACCCAGGGCCGGGGCGAGCCGCTCACCTCTCGCGCAGAGCGGAGCTGCTGGCGCAGCGCGTCCTTGCAGCCGTAGGGGCCGCCCGCCCCTGCGCCGCGGGGCTGGAAGTGCGCCTCGACGCGCGTGGCGCCGCGGTAGGCGCCCTGGTAGAAGGCCGGCCAGCCGAGCTCCAGCAGCGGCGGCTCCAGGTCTGACTGCTCGGGGAAGTAGGTGCCCGACGAGCAGTCATGCGAGGAGCCGAACGAGTCCTCGGCCGCGGCCGCCACACCCTCCTCTCCCGGCGGCTCCGCCGCGCGCAGGATGGCATGCACCTCATCCGGGTTCAAGAAGCGAGCCAGGCGCTCGCGTCGCAGGAAGGCCGCCAAAGCTTCGGGGCCGCCGGCCACCAGCTCCTCCAGAGCCAGGCGCCGTTCCTCGCTGAAGAGCTCGGCCGGGTTGGGCGGCCCGCACGGCGATAGGCAGGCGATGGGCAGCTCGTCCAGGCCCTCGGAAAGCAGAGCCATAGCGGCGTTCGGACGCGACAGACCTCAGACGAAAGCAGGCGTGCGGGCCTACTTTATAGGCAACCTTTGAATCAAACAGGACCGCGCCATTGGCCGCACCTCCCCGCCTCAGCTCTCCCATTGGCTGCTTTCCTTCCAATAGCGGAGAGGCGGCTCCGCCCCCTGATGCGTCATTGGCTGCCGGCACAGCGGAGCCTTTGCTCTCAAAGCTGAGGCTGTTAAGCGGAATTTAAACTTGCAGGGGCGGGGCGGGCAGCAGAGCAGGGACAGAGACGGGAGAGCCGGGCTCGTGGCCATCCCAGCGCGCCCCCTGCCGGCCGCCCCGCAGAGCGGCCTTACAAGGCAGTGATGAGAGGCAGGTGCCGGCTCCCAGACACGCTGGCCACGCTGCTCCTAGGCTTTCGGAGCTTTGGCATGGCCAACCATATCGCCTTTATCCCCTGCATTTAACCGTGTATTCATTCATTCAAAAAATACCGGCTCATCGTATTAGGAACTCTCCTTTGATTACACCCTAGGGTAGCCTTCTCTCATTTCATCGGTTTTGCCTTGTAAAACCCCAACCTACCCTGGTTACACGCTACTTTCCACCTGCACCGCGGCAGCCCTACAGGGCTGGAGAAAAAAAGAACATAACCATGCTCACTGACTGGTCATGCTTCCAATTCATGATCCTTAAAACTGCCTGCTAGGAGACAGGGCCCATGCTGTGGCTCACGCCTGTAATCTCAGCACTTTGGGAGGCTGAGGAGGGCGGATTACCTGAGATCAGAAATTCAAGACCAGCTTGACTAGCATGGTAAAAACCCGTCTCTGCTAAAAATACAAAAACCAGCCGGATGTCTTGGTGCACGCCTGTAATCCCATACTCGGGAGGCTGAGGCAGGAGAATCACTTGAACCTGGGAGATGGAGGTTACAGTGAGTCGAGATTGCATCATTGCACTCCAGCCTGGGTGACAAGAGAGAAACTTGCTGCCTGCTAGGCTGTTATTTCCCGCATTTTCTACCTTTTCCTTTCTGACAGCTTGCTTCCTGTGTCACCGAGAACACAGAAGCAGTGAGAAGGGAACTTTAACATGCGCCCATCCAGTCTACCTTCCTGTCTGCATCTCTGCCCATACACAGGGCATTGATGAACTGCGCCTGCACCATCCAACCCCAGCTCCTCTGCCTGGGCACTTCCAGCCCCTCTCCTCACCAGCATCACTCCAGCAACCTCCTTCTTTCTCCTGGAACATCAGCGTCCCTCTTTACTGATTCATTTCTATAAGCCTACACACATGTTGAAACATCTTCATCTTAAAACAGCCCTCTCTTCACCCTACATTCCTCTAAAGCTCCCCATTTTTCTTCTTACTTTTGCAGCATAAAACCTCAGACATGGCTGGGCATGGTGACTTGCACCTGAAATCCCAGCACTGTGGGAGGCCGAGGGAAGAGGATCACTCGAGCCTCGGAGTTTGAGACTAGCCTGGGCAACATAGCAAGACCCTATCTCTAGAAAAAATACAAAAGTTAGCCAGGCATGGTGGTCTGTCTAACTTTTAGTGCATGGCAGTGCTCATGGTGGTCTCAGCCACTGGGAAGGCTGAGACAGGAGATGACTTAAGGCATCTTAAGATGCCTTAAGGAGTTTGAGGCTGCAGTGAACTATGATCGCACCACTGCACTCCAGCCTGGGTGACAGAGCAAGACCCTGACTCAAAAAAAAAAAAGAAAAAAGAAAAAAGAAAAAAAAGAAAAGAAAAAGAAACCCTCAAACCAGTTGTCTATATTTGCTGTCTCCAGTTCTCTTCCAGCCCTCTTCAATCAGGCTAAAAACCCCCATTGCTTTACCAAAACCCCTTGTCAGGTTCATCATGAGTTCCACACAGCTAAATCCAACAGTCAATTTTCAGCCTTTATCTTCTTTTTGTAAACGAAAAGAGCATCATAAACGTGAGAAGTTACATTATTTAGCAATGCTTCTCCCTCTCTTTCCCTCCTCTCCCCTTTCCCATCCATTTGTGAAGTTTCTCAGGACTATGTGTGGGGCCTTCCATGTGTCCCTGCTCTGGTCTCCAGGGTCCAGGAGGCAACAAAGAGAGCATCCTTTTCACCCTCTTTCAAAACACCAACAAAGTTCTGTGTGGGACAAGGACCAAGGACCGTGGTCTGAGGCTGTGCAACCACAGCTTCTCTATGCCTTAAGGTAAAAAGTGAGAATGGCCAGGACCATAAGCACATGAAAGAACTGGAATGGGTCAGGGGGAAGAGTACGGGACATGTCAGTGCGCTCCAAGAACGGGACAGAGGAGAGGGGCACTCTTGTTACATACAAATGTTATCAGGGGCCAGTGCAGTGGTTCACGCCTGTAACCCAGCACTTTGGGAGGCCAAGGCAGGCGGATCACTTGAGGTCAGGAGTTTGAGACCAGCCTGGCGAACATGGTGAAACTCTGTCTCTACTAAAAATACAAAAACTTAGCTAGGCATCATGGCCAGCACCTGTAATCTCAGCTATTCGGGAGGCTGAGGCAGGAGACTCACTGGAACCTGTGAGGCAGAGGTTGCAGTAAGCAGAGATCGCACCACTGCACCCTGAATGACAGAGACTCCATCTCAAAAAAATAAAAATAAAAAAAAAAAATAAAAATCAGGAAAACCTTGGAACATGTATGGAATAAACATATGCTATTATAGGGCTTCACGTTAATTTCAAAGAGAACAATTGACAGAATGAAGGTCATTCCCAACCACCCACCTTTTCTTGAAGTCATCAGTTTTTACCATCTCCCAGTCTGGAGAGACATCTGCTCCAGGTCTGAGCCCCCAGAATTCCCTCTACTTCAGGGGCCTCATGTGAGAGCCCTCCGCAGGGAGCGGGGAGTAAGGGGGAAGAGATTAGAAGCCCTCACCCACCCTCTAATCCAGGAACCTCCTCTTTGTGAATTTAAGTCAGCACTGTTCAAGTGAGCTCACAGCAATAACCAGTCACACTAGCAGGTGTTATTAAAAGGAATTTAATAATTTTAATTAAAAACTCTTAACAGCGATTTCTGTCACAGGCCTTGGCAGCTGGAAGCAACTCCAGAGACATGTGCCCCCTCTGGGATGTGGCTGAGCCACGGTTTGGGACCCGAGGCCCAGCAGTGCCGCGTGGCGAGGGGCTACCTGGAAGTTACTTCAGTACGATATCAAAGATCCGTGAGGATTTTTTTTTAAAAAAGTTTTAAATATATTAGACTCTCTTGATTGCCATTTTTACACAAAGCTGCTGATACAGTATACAGAGTTTTAACTTTTTTTCACATAAAATACTTTTTTTAAGTGTTCTCTGTACATCAGTGGCTTCTGGTCTGGTGAATTATTGCGGAGGGCTGGGGGTCTGCAGACTTTTCCTGGGTGTGCAGAGCCAGGCCCCGCACGGTGGCACTTGCAATGCCCATGGGAAGCAGGCCCTCTGGCCAAAAAGAGACTCCTGTTAGGGAGAGGGCTATAGCTTCCAGCACAGGGGGTCGCTTTTACAGAGTCATCCACTGACCATTGGACCTTTTGCTCTTATGTGCCCTGGGGGAGGGGAGACCATCCCCAAGTTACAAATCACAAGAGTTCAATACAGGCTTTCTGGGCATCTTAAAAAGAGCACCCTTCTTGAAAGTACCCCAGTATCCTGCTCTAGGAGAGAGAGCAGGTAGGTGAGAGAGCTCAGGATGGAAAGGTATCTGACACCAACAACCAGAATGGTCTCATGTTATTACAAAGCCAGCAAACTTGTGGGGCAGGACAGGGGACACACCTTGTTAACTGTTCTAAGCCCCTTGGAAATGGATCAAGCAGTGCAGAGCAGTTTTACTTGTGCTGCATATTTGACGGAGAATTCTATCCTGAAGTCTTCAGTAGCCCTGGGCCTAGAGTTGATTCCGCTTCCCTAAGCTACTCGCCAGAAACTCACAGCCTGGTGGTAGCTGCCAACTTTCAATTGTTTGGGGCATATGATGGTAAGCCATGCAGCACCTGCTTTGGAAGTGACCTCCTTTAATCTAATAAGGAGCTGCCACAGGACCTGGATCTCAGCAGGAGCTAGGCATCTGGTTGACTTTGCCAGTTTTCTTCCAGCTCCTGGATGCACCCCTGCCATGAAGGGAGGCAGATTCCTGAGGAAAGACTTTGATGCTGAAGGAAGCAGCTCCAGCTCCTTTTCCTCCCAGTATTCATTAGTGGGGTGAGGGGGCTCTGTAATAAATGAGCCCCTGTGAGCAAGAAACAATAACTTTAAAAACCTGAGATGCATTTGGTAGTAAATTGCAGTACAGTCTTCTAGATCTCAAGCTGCTATTATAGAGTCCCCCAAAGATGCTGGCTGAAGACAGCTATCACTGAAAGTTCCAGATGGACCTGGATGATGTCTGCTTGGAACCCAAGATCCAGCATCTGTACTTGGTGGCAAATGTTATCCAGGGATGGCCATGACAGCTGTTACCAGCTAAAGGCATTCAGACTCTAAGGATTCTAGGAGCTGAAAAGCAAAGGGTCGCTGGACCAAGATGCAGACACTTTGCCTCAGGTGACTTGAATGGGACTGCTGATGCCTGCGGTCCCCAAGGGACAGAAACTACAAAGAACAGTTTTCCTTACTCTGTCTTATTCCCCCTTTATCTGCAGAACCTAACATACTTGCTGGCATGTTGCAGCTACTCAGTAAATTATGAGTTAATTAATTTTGGCTCATTCATTGAGGGCTGGTCTTCAGCTCATCTCTCAACACCCAGGAGACCTACAGGGAAAGCTCCCCAGGGACTCCAGAGAGGGAATGGTTTATCCCTGGGTGAAAACATGAGCCAATGTTTGAGAGTCACCTGTGTGTGAAGTCAGTTCCTGTCAGAGAATCAGCTGGGATTCCCAGCCTCCTGGGTGGAGAGGAATGGCCCAGGAGGCAGGAGGCATGCAAAACGGAGGGAATGGCCTCGGTTGCTCAGTGGGTGGGGCAGTATATGTCTTCAGTGTTTGGCCCCTGAGCAAAAAGAAAACCTGCTCAGCTCTCTCCTGAGGAGCATGTGGCTTCCCTCACACTCCCTACCTGTAGCTAAGGTTGGCTCACGAGGGATTCCAGCATCAGTCTGGGCTGATACTGTTTTACAGCC